AAAAAAAAAAAAAAAAAAAGCCAGGTGTGAGGCCACATTTTTTTCATCTCAGTGCTGGGGAAGTGGAGACAGGATCTCCTGCCAGCCTAATAGGCAAGTTCTGCATGAATAAGAGACCCTGCCTCAAAAACAAACAAACAAAACAAAACAAACAAACAAAAAGCAACCACACACACAAAAAAACAGAACTAGGGTAGACATGGAGATGGCTGTGCAATCCTGGGGACTGTGTTTGATCACTGGAACCAGGTAAAAATGGAAAGAGAGCTCCGCACAGGGGTCCTTTGACCTTACCAGGTACACCATGGCCTCTGTACCCACCCCCACGCCCATCACACACATACATCACAGTCAATCAATCAGTCAAACAATCGATCAATCAGTCAATAAAGACGCTGGGTGGTCGTGTCAAATGCCTTTAATCCCAGTGCTCAGGAGGCAGGGGCAGAGGCAGGCAGATCCGGGTGGAGTTTGAGGCCAGCCTGTTCTACAGAGCCAGTTCCAGCCTGGGCTGTTACACAGAGAAACCTTGTATCAAAAATACAGGAAAAGAAAAATGCTCAAATGCCCCCCACCCTTGGTGGACTTTATGACTCAATATAGTGTGATTTCCTTCAGCCAGCCTCGGAATCCTTAGAGGAGCACCCTGCATTGTTGACGAGAATTGTTTGAGCCAAACTAATGGAAGTTTCTGGAAGCCTAAAAGACACCTTACAATTGGGTGCATGGTAGGCAGACATAGAAAGCACATGTCCGTGGGGGAGTTGGTAAAAGAAAACAAAACTAAAGAAGTCTCCACAAGACGGTTAAAGAATGACCTCGGGTAATGTGAAGTTCTTGGAAAGAGCCGAGCCCCACCCATGGCTGGCTCAGAGGACCTGTCCCGGGAGCTTTTTAAACCGTCTGCCAAAGCCAGGAGCACTTAGACGGGGCCTCCCGGGGTAGTTCTGAGGGGCTTTTGTTCTATTAAGGCTTTGGGGAGGTGAGGTTTCCAGAGGGCAGAAAAGCTACATTTCAGGAACCCCTCAACTCACCTGCTCGGCGGCCGGCATGTTTTCCAGGATGGTATGCATGCAGCCTATGTTGAAGCAAATCCTCGAGTGGGGGTCCTGCACCTCGCTGAAGGCCTGCAGGGCACCCTTCCAGTCCTTCTTGTCGGCTGCCAGCACCCCTTCATTCCAGAGTCTGATGGCCTCAGCCAGGGACATGCTTGCTTAGCGTCTCTCCAGGCCGGCTGAGCTGCGGGGTCCCAGGCTTCAGGGTCCCAACCCAGGGCTCAGAATGGGCTCTAGCCTCCCTCTGCGGGCCTTCATAGTGTCAGGAAGTTTCCCCACCTTTCAGGAACTGACGCATAAGCGAGCAAGAGAGAAAAAAGGAGAGAGAGGAGAGGGCTGGGAAAGGGGAAGTCTATTAGATGCCGGCCTGCCGTGGGCCAGTCAGTTCCTCTAAATGCTTCTGCTCCGTCCCAGGCACCTCCTATTTGTCTCTGCCTCCCACGCCCTCTGTGGCAGCTTCAGGTCAGGGGGCCCTCAGCAAGTCTGGCCAGGCACGCCTCTTTTCAACCTTGAATGAATTCCTTGCTCTGGTCCTCTGGGTCTCCGGGCTGTTGACAAGCTATGGCTGCATCGATGGATATAACCTAGCCTGGCCTGAATTCCCAATCTTCTGGCCTCAGACTCCCGAATTCTGGAGTTATAGGGGTGCAGCCACTACTGTTTTGTTTTTTGTTTTAAAATCTTGAGGGGAAAAAAATAAGCACAGTACACATTTCTGAGACAGGATGTAGCATCATGCGTGTCCATCCAGGTCTGAGATAACTTTAAGAGAACTCAGACCAGTTCAGTTTCTTGTAAATACTCAAACTGGGAGGCAGAGATGGCAGTAAGGTGTCACCTGTCTGTGAATAATTGAAGGCATGGCTCCTGTATTGATGACTAATGAGCTCACTCATCTGTAAATACAGATTTGAGATTCCTTTACTCACTGCCCTGGTACAAAGTTAATACAAAAACACACAAACAATAACAACAACCAAGACAAAAAAAAAACTTTCCTGAGGAAAAGTGAGGTAGTGTGTCTAAACAATGAGATCTGCCAAAGTCCGGACCTCTTGGTAGGCAAAATGCATGTTAATGAGGGTCAAATACAGGGCTATTTCTAAGTCTTGTTTTGTGGCACCTGAAAGAACTCAACACAGGGTTGGTATGACGAAGACAGAATGGCTGAAGAAGAATGTGTCCCTGCAAAGACTCGTCCTGCCTTTGGTAGACCTTCCTGTCTCACTTCTTCACCTGGTAATCTCCTCAGACTTCCAGGCTCATCCATCCAGCCTCCTTCCTATGCCCCACCTCTGTGACAGCCAGCTCCCCACTCTAGGTTACAGAGAGAATGCTTTCTCTTCGTCTTCTCTCCTCCTAAATACCGACTGTATTGTTGTGGAATATTTCTTTACATTGTGTGAAGATGATATGTCACTGTGATTGGTTCAATAAAGAGCTAAATGGCTTTTTATTGGGGTTTTCATAGCTAAGCAGGATTTTCAGGTCAGAGAGAATGCTGGGAAGAAGATGAAGGCGTTGCAGGGAGATGTGGAGGAAGCATGACATGTAGGAGGAGAGGTAAAAGCCATGAGCCACGTGGCAGCACATAAATTAATAGAAATGGGTTAACTTATAAGAGCTAGTTGGAAACAAGCCTAAGCTAAGGCCGAGCTTTCATAATTAATAATCATTCTCTGTGTGGTTATTTGGGAGCTGGCTGGTAGGACAGAGAAACACTCACCACATACGGCGCCCAATGCCTGGCCATCTATATTCACATAAGGCCTGAGACAGGAAAAAAAGTTCAAAACAGCCGGGCGGTGGTGGCGCACACCTTTAATATCAGCACTTGGGAGGCAGAGCCAGGCGGATCTCTGTGAGTTCGAGGCCAGCCTGATGTACAGAGCGAGATCCAAGAAAGGTGCAAAGCTACAAAGAGAAACCCTGTCTCAAAAAACCAAAAAAAAAAAAAAAAAAATTTCAAGACACCAAGTCAAACACGGCTTCCTGGTGCGGCGTCCCGGTGACCAAGGTCTCTCAGGTAGGCTCAGTGTACAGAGACTGCCTGTGGGCTGGAGCCAGCTGCCAGTGCCATTCGCCAAGCTGAACTGTGTGTGCCAGCAGCTGACATAGCAGTTTAAGATTTGTCTCACGTGATCAGAGAATGCTACAGACTACAGATGCTCATTAAAGACAGATCCAGACCAAAAAAATTAAAATAAATAAAAATTTTAAAAAATTATCTAAGCAGGTTATAAAAATGTGTTTAAAAAATATGTGTAGGCTTAAAAAAGAAAAGAAAATGGTTACAGATAGTCATAGAAAAAGAGTTTATAAATAATAAAAACTTTAAAGAGAAAAATAAAATGATATAAAAAGATAAGTCACATGAAGATGGAAAATACAGAGTCTGGATCCTATATGGTGTCTTTGTGACTTTAAATTTTTCCATTACTGAATGACAAGCAATAGCTGCTAGAGACAGTGGATTGTGGAAACTGCTAAATTAGGGCAACCAATATATTTTTAAAATGTCTTAACTTCAAAATGGAAGTCAAAAAATATGTTGCTCTGGGGAAGAGGTTATGCTTTTGTTTCCACAGAAAACCAAAGGCTGTGGATTCATTCAAGGTTGATAGAGATCAGATTTGATTGGGGGAGACCCCCTGAAAATCCTGGCTACAGACATAAATAAACCTAGAAAAATTGTAAAACAGGTAATGTATATTTTACCTGCTCAAACATAAAACAAAAAATCATCTTTGGCTGGCTTATGTACAATGCACAGTCCATACTTGTGTTAATTCAAATGTATATGTTACCTTTGAATGTTTATGTGTTTTCAGAACAAGGGGACCAGACACCAATGAAAACGGGTGGCCCAGGTGATCCAGCCACTCAGATGCCTCTGTTGCAGTTTCCTCAGAGTTCTGCATCCAGAACAACTTCAAAGATGCTGGCTGAGATGGTCCAACCTCACAGACTGTTCTAGCCAGGACTTGACCATTATCCTAATTTTCTCAGGGTCCCCTAAAGGTTCCAGCACCTCCAGACAACAGAAAGCAGACTAGAGAATGCAATGCCCACATTCCCAAGAGGTAGAGTGGGTGGTTTTTGGTCATTCTGTGGGTTATGCATGGTTGTCATTGTTTGGGGGGGGGGTGATGGTTACAATTGTTATTGGTCATGGTCAGAAAAAAACTGAACAAAGGAGATTAGATTCAGGGATCTCCTTCTGAAAAGAAAAAGGGGAGATATTATATAGAAATGATAGGATAAGGGGATAGATTATTGTATCTACTTTAAAACTAAAAAAAAAAACTACTGATCTCTAATATTTTACTTTGGTATGGATTTTTGTATATAGATACAAATTTAAGTTTATTTTTGCTAGAACATACTATATATAGGTTTCCACTCATTTAAGATATTTTTGTATATTGATACAAATTTAAGGTTATTTTTGTTATACTGTATATATGTTTCTACTCTTGTTTAAGGTATTGTACCTATGTAGCTCATTTAACAATGTAATATAAATTTCTATTCCTTGAAAATTATTATTGCAAACTATTTAGAATAATTAAGAAATATAGGTTAGTAGTTAGTCAGCTAACAATCAAAATTGTGGCCACGTTAGGTATGTTTTCAAGGTCAAATAGAGATATATTTTAGATAGATGATCTTCATACACTTCAAAGACCTACAGAATATGACATTTAAGATGTTTTAATAACATAAGGCTTTTCATGACAGTGAGACATGTCTGTTTCTGACAGCACCAATCTACTTCAGAGAAGATGATGGGCATCAAAGAATCTCCAAATGAAGTTTGCTTTCTTTGTGGTAAAAGCTAGCCGCTGGGAAAAGAAACTGCCCTTGCCTCAACTGCTGACAGTACGCTGTCCAAACTGGACAAGCAGGACACAAAAGAAAGTGACTGCCAAACTTGACTAGACAGGGTAGAACAATCTTTTTACCCAGACCTCAAACTTGCGGGCAGAAGTTGGGGGTGGGGATAACCCACCCTTCTGTCCTTAGGGTATAAGCAACGGGGTTGGGCTCAGTGTTGTTCACTTTCTCCAGTCCCTGTCACCACACAGGTTAAGCCATCATCAGCTGCAAGTTAGCATGGTCTCCTGACCATTTCTGACCAACACCTACTCCCTTATCGATGCGGCTTTCAGACTGTTTCTAAAATCCACCTGTCTTAGGTATGGGTTCTATTGCTGCAAAGAGAAACTATGACCACAGCAACTCTTACACGGGGAAACATTTAATTGGGGCTGGCTTACAGTTCAGAGATTTAGTCCGTTGTCGTCATGTCAGGAAGCATGGTGGTGTGCAGGCAGACACGCTGCTGGAGAAGTAACTGAGAATTCTACATCCGGATCTGAAGGCAGCAGGAAGAGAGAGAGACGCTGGGCCTGGCTTGAGCATCTGAAACCTCAAAGCCCAGTGACATGTCTACTCCAACAAGGCCACACTCCTAAGAATGCCACTCTGCTGCAAGCCACAGGAAAACGTAATGGAATTCAGCAAAATTCAGCAAAAGCTACACTTGGAAAGGTCAAGGACTTCTCCAAAGGTCAAGCCATGGCTTAAGAAGTCTTGGTGATAGTTTAGCTTTTGTATATACGTTAGCTGGTTCCTACAGTGGTTTTCTTGTAATGCTATGCATGTTTCCAAGAACTCCTAACAGTGTATTTATTTAAAATATCTATCAAGCATGCAAGGCCAAATGGAACAACACCTGTCTCTGAGGTCAGGCAGATAGCTTTATTTCTTGTGCAATTTAAGGTGAGACCCTCTTTCCTTACAGCCTTACTAATAGACCCCTAACTTCTTACCTAACCACTTCTCGGAATGTAGATTGAGCACATAAATTCCCTTCTTGACATACTAACCGATCATTAACTCTCTGTTGACTGCTGTGGGATGTTCTGTATGTCCTGTGGGAGCCCTTCTTGGGTTCCTCGTGGCTTTACCCAGCAGGTCTGCATAGAGGATGATTAGGACCATGGGCCTGAGTGCAGGTGTTTGAGATGGTCTGCACTTGGCTGTGCTGGGGGATGGTCTGTATGTCAAGTTGCTCTGATTGGTCAATAAATAAAACCTGATTGGCCGTGGCTAGGCGGGACTAACTGAGAGGAGAAATAAAAGAACAGGAAGGCAGAAGGAGTCACTGCCAGCTGCCACCCTGACAAGCAGCATGAAAAGATGCCAGTAAGCCACGAGCCATGTGGCAAGGTATAGATTTGTGGAAATGGATTAATTTAAGCTATAAGAACAGTTAGTAAGAAGCCTGCCACGGTCATACAGTTTGTTCCTCCTTTACCACTCCTCTTTTGG